GGCTTTCACGCCTGACGCTGCAGTGCATAAAGGTCACGTATATTGTGTTGCTGAACTATATATAATTCAGTGTTTAGAGGCATCTTAATCATCTGGTGTTGGGCACACCAGCGGGGCTGTAGCCCGCGTCCTGGACGGTGTTTCCCGCTGCCACGTACAGTCATATGCTATTGTCACAGTGCCGCGGGTGGGCTCTTGTTTCCAGGCGTTGAGTTTCTACCTGTGATGTGCCAGAACTGATCAGCTGTTGGGGTTTTGATCCAATGGCATGGGCCTTTATCTTTTGATGCAAATGTAAATGATCTTTAAATTATGTTATTTCTGGTTGGGAGAGTAATCAATATAGTTCTGTGTATGTAAGTTTTCAGGGCTGCCATGTGTTTCTGAAGCTGTGATAAATCATATTAACTACACCTATAATCTGGTTTCGGATACAAGGCTGGTTTTTAATGCAGCTGTCTGAAGCACAGGTTAGCCAAACTTCAGCTAAATTCAGAAGAATGAAACTCTGCAACTGAAATGCTGTATAAAACAGCGGGCAGTTTGCTGTTGCAGTTTCTTTCTAAAAATAGTCTTCCATGGCCTCCTTAGCACAGCTTCTGCCCATCATTTGGAAGCGCAGAAGTAGCCAGGCTTAGTGTTCTTAGTAGACTGGCGAGGACACGTGCATTTTGATCTAGATGCACTTCTTACCGGTGTTTCCAAGACTCAGCTGGCAGGGACACGTTCAGGGTCGCTGCACGAAGGTTCTCTGTTACCCTCCTGGCAGCTCGCGCCGAGCTACTGCACCGGCGTGCAGGGTCTCTCTGGATTTCCAAAACTGTGTCAGTTAGGAGTGTTGTGCCTTATTTTTAAGTCTCTCTTGAACACCGCACCGAGGCAGAAACAAGAGCAGCAGATGACAAGTTCGAGGGGTGACTGCCAGGAAAACAATGAAATCCAGTAGAGATACACCTATGGGCACTATACTGTTTGTGACTCCAGATGTTAACTACGGTTGCAGCCCATTAAGGGGAAACCACGGGATATGAATCTGAAATGGATATGGTTCAAGTATCTCTGTGTATACAGAAACAACCAAGTAGGTTAATATTAGTTAATCTTGCAGTCTTACGTGGACATAACTCTGACGTCAACAGGAATTTTGGATGCCTGAAGAGTGAATAAATATGCTGACAGGGATCATTTGAGTACAAAGTTAGGTTTCAGTAAGATTTAGTAACAAATAGCTGGCATTTTAACCAGCCTGATTTAGTATTTACATTTAAAAGAAGGATTTCTGAATTTGTCTTCGTAAGACTGTACATCAAAGGAGACTTGTGCTAAGTCCTCTTGGTCAAATTAGGGTTTAATGCAATATCCCCGTGCATGCCAGTTAATCTTAAATAGGCTGAAACAGTAAAGTACCATCTCTGCCCAAGCTGATCATTAGAGAAATGATGTGGCCCTGCACGTTCTGGGTGGAGGAGAAAGAACAGAAATCTAGTTAATATAACATATTTAATATGGTCCATTTTAAAGAATTTCTTATTTTATTTGGGAATTGTTGCAGGCATGAAAATTTCTTTATTAACCAGGCTAACTTCTTGGTTTATCATGCAAAAGACATTATCTTTATGCAGATATTTACTCCCAACACTGAATTGAATATTCTCTGCCAGAGCTGGGGACAGTTTTAAACCCAGTATTTTGCAGTTTTCCTTTAATTATGCACGTGATCTTCCTCGGCGTAATTTTAATAGCAGTTTTACTGTATAAGAAGATCAGTCCACAGTCACGCAAACCACATGTAGTTTGAGTTAGCTCCAGGACAGGTGCCTGTGGAGGCACTGCTCGCCATGCAGAGGGATGGATAAACCACTCCATGAGTGTTTCGGGAATATATTGATAAGAAAACCACATCAGTCATAGTTCCTACTGCTGTTCACATTGCAATCTATGGCCTCTATACTTTTTTCCAGGTAAAAGACACCATTGGCTACGATACTTTGGGGCACTGTTTCTTCCTCGAAGACGGGACAGAGCAACGCAACACCTTTTATCACAACTTGGGCCTTCTCACGAGGTCGGGGACGATCTTGCCTTCGGATCGCAATGAGGCTATGTGCCTTGCCATCCGCAGCCACGTCTATGGGAATTACGTTCCTGTGCCAAGCACCGACTGCATGTAAGTGCTCCAGGAGCTGTGGTGAGGTTTTGCAGTTATGTTGTGCTGTATAGCTGAGTCCCAAAGAATGCCATCGTGAAAGATTTGAAAGATGCTCTTTGATATTAAATGAAAAATTGTCGCTTTTTCTATCGTTTCTCATTTTAAAATAATTTCAGTACTTGACCATGTTTTGCATGTGAAGATATCTATTAACACCTACGTGAACCCTAAGCAAGGAATACTTGCTGCCTGTTATTCCTCTTGCTGTTTCCTGAGAGTCATAAATATGTTAGAGCACTTTGCTCGTTTCTGAACCCTTTTCAATTCTTTTTAAGAAGGATGTTGGAGTCTCCATGAAACCTACCTGATAAATGCAAGTTGGTTCAGCCCTGATATAGGCTGACAAAAATAACACTTACTACAAACAGAGGTTTTTTACTACAAAGGGAGGGCTGAATTAGGGCTGGAGCGTCTAGAGTAAATTGGGCCATCGTACATGAGTGCATGAATATCTAGAGTACATCAGGAGAGTTAACGAGAATGTAGAGATTAGCATAAACTAATTTTGAGCATCATTTCACAATAAACAATATCCTGCTATAGCTGACCAAAGTTAGCTTCTGTTTTGGAAACCAATGAGCTGTAACATGGGCACTCAGTGGACCCGGGTATTGGCCTGGCTAGTGTTTGTGAGTAAGAACATAATTTAGCCAAGGAAATCTGTATTTTCATGTTTTCTGGAAAAGGATGCAGTGGCCAAACCCAACTTGTTTTAATTGGCATAAATAAATTATTGATGAAATGCTAAGGTTGATTGTACAGTTAATACAGATTTATTTTGCACCTATTTAGTGGTTCTGTTACTCCAAAGGAGTGTAGATTCTTGATTATGTAATAGTTAAGGTATATAAAAAGTTATTGAGACTTTCTGCGTAGAATGATCAAATTAATTGGTATGGTCATGAGAAAAGATTTACAGTGTTTTTACATGTGGTCTATTACTGCAAAAGATGTTATCAAATGAAGTAAGACAACAGATGACAATGTTTTCATAGCTATATCTAGCTTCTGTTTGTGTCACTACTGATCTTCCCTCTGAAGCAAAATATCCTTATTTGAACAAACATCAAAATAATATCTCCTTAATCTCCTGCTTAACGAGCCATTTGCGGCTTGTGAGGATATTTGTTTTGTTTTCCACGTAGAAGCTTCATAAATACATAGAGAATGTCATACCTCCTGCCATTCCCCCGAACTTCCATAAAACAACCCAAAAGTCCACCCTTCAGACAGTTTCCAAAGATGCATAACTTAAGAAAAAAAAAACCCAAGACATTTGGTTTCCTCAGAGCATGGATTTTGTGTTAACGGTCTCATATAATTTACAATAGGTTCAGCATGTGGCTCCACAAATGAACATGTCTGACATCACAAGATGGTTTCTTTTCCTTAAAGAGTATCATTAAAAGGTTGTGTGGAGTTTTAAAGTCAATAGGAGAGTTGTGGCTCAAGTCCAGTGCAGTGCTATGAAAATGTATCCCTTCCTGTTCAGTAACTGCTTAGAATCATTTTGATTTTGATTTTTCAGGGCTGTCAGCACATTCTGGATTGCAAATCCGAACAACAACTTAATAGAGAATGCAGCAGCTGGTGCTCAGGTAAAATAATTTAACAGCAAGAGCTATACTTTGCCTGCAGTTCCCGTATATTCTACTCTTATTGATTCCATTAGCATGAGGGCAATGAATTTCTAGTAAGCCATCGTAAAATTTGAATATGTATTTCTGCAATCTTTGTTAAGAACAAATATTTGCCTACAATTCTCGCACTGGTATCTCTTACAACCATGGCTGGAAGTGCTGTGTGATATCTCTCAGCAAATGTTGATTTTTATCAGTAGTTAATAGTCAAATGTCCAATAAAATTTTATATTTGTATATATAAATATATATTTTCTCCTTTTTATTATTTCTGATGTTTACCCAAATCATGTTTGTGTTTAATGTGCATGTATAGAGAAGGCTGTGTTTTCTAAGAAACCACCTGAATTTCACCCACAGTATATGCACTTTGAAAACCCGAGTGTGTGTGCCCCAGGGGCCCACTGTCCGTGCCAAAGGATAAGCTGGGAGGTGTAAGAGTATGGGCTGGTGTGTGTCCCCTGGGGCTCACATATGCTTGGCAAGCTCAGGTTAGAAACCTGGCCAGCATAGTGGGAAGCCCTAAAGTCCCCAGGTTAACCTGTATCATTAATTGTAGTGTCCCATTTCTCAGACCTCCCTTTGTCTTTTAGGATGTCGGCATATGGTACATCTTCCACCGGGTTCCCACTGGACAGTCCGAGGGGCAATATCCAGAGGGACAAGCAGAACATACCCCCTTGGGAGTATTTTACAACAACAGAGCCCACTCCAATTTCAAGGCATGTGGATGATTTTTATATGTTACTATCAATAAAATAGTATGGCGTAGGGCTGACCGTGTGTGGTGCTCTAATATCAGATGATCGTGGGCGTCTTACATTTTTATAACGGTCTTTTAACACTGTAGCAAGAGACAATCAACTTTTGGGGGTGATACTCTTTCTAATGGTTAACGAGGGAGCTGAGCAGAATGGGTCTCCCATTTCAGGTGCTTCGGTCGGGTGCCTGTGTTAGAGGGGATGTGCCCAAGCCATAGGTACACCTACTACTAGGTGAGATTTAAGGAATGACAGGCAGGACACTGAGCACTGCTGTTGGCCATAGTCATGCAAGGATATAAGGGGATGAGCAAAAGTTGTTTGTGCCAGGGCCTTTGAAAAATGAGACCAAAAATTCAGGGGTAATTCCAAGAAAAACACTTTCCCCCAAATATACTGTTGACATGAAAACATAACCTGTAAGCTATAAAAATAATTTCTAACCTATTTCTCAGGATTCTGGATTGAAATCAGTGCTGTTCTCTGTGACTTGTATATTTTACGTCTTGGTCCATGACAGCCGCTGCTCTGTCCCAAAGCCTTTAAGTTGGCTGCAGCAGCTCATGTTCTCTTTTGACTGTCGGGGGACTCGTCACTCTTTATTTAAAGCCTTACTTCTTGACAACACTCTTTTTCCAAAAAGTTATCAAGAGCTTGGCAGAGTCCCTTATTGCCTTCTGCGAGGGAGAGAGAGAGTGGGAGTTCAGTGCCTCGCTTTGGGTCAGAAGACAGCCCAAGATGCTGATGCATAACATATGGCAGGGCAGTCTCTGTCCCCACGTCAGCCTGCTGCATCCTGTGCTAATGTCATGCTGAGCGGTGCCAAGTGACACCAAAAGGGAGGAGAAAGCCCGGGCTGCAGCCGCTCGCTGTGCCTGCACGCACTGGCTGCTCACGTTCGTTGATAAAAATCTGGGCTCTCTGGTCTCTGTGGGGTGGTCTGTTAAAATAATTGGAGTCGTGTGCATTTTCAGGCTGGTTTGTTTATTGGAAAGGGAGTAAAGACAACGAGAGCCAGCGCTGAAGATCCCAGAGAATATCTCAGTGTCGATAATGCCAGGTAAGCACATGCTGTATGGCTAAATATTTGGGATAGTTGTACTGCTGCTTGGCTTCTGCATTGTATTTAGCAGATAGTTAATGCCTCATTATGGCTGCAGCATCTGAAAAAAACACACAAGCTATCTCTGATGTACAGAGGCAAATACTTCATAGCTATGCACTGACTTGTTTGTGTTATTGCTGACCAAAAATTATATGTGTGCACTTGGGGTTATGAGGGCTAAGCAGTGAAGCACATGAGCAGGGATCCAAATCCCATTATTCCATTAGTGGGTTTATAAACGCCAACGTTTCTTATTAATTGCTTAAAAGAACTTACATGTGAAAGATGACATAAGAGACTGCTGAGGCTGGTCTAAGATTAAGGAGGAAAATAAAGTAGCCTCAAAGCTTTTTGTCAGCCACTTTAAAATCCCTGAGCTTCCTTTCGCAGAGTGGAAGCAGGTAAATTAAGGCCATTTTCTCTCTTGCTGCAGCCCTATGGGCCTGTGTGAGGAGGATGTGGCAGAAATCAGCCACTGCACCTTGGCTTTTTTCCTCCTCTGTCATGCCCTCTCAATGCTCCCCTATGGTGGAAAGGAAAGGGTGACTGTGCCTCCCTTTGTGAGACTTCCCTCCCCAGGCCACCTCCTTGGGCTCGGAGGTGGCACGTCCCTCGGGACATCAGCTGGAAGAAGTAGGAGCTGAGGGTAGACTCAGAAAAAGCAATGGTGATTTTTTTCCAGACAGGGCACAAGTCTACCATTAACAGTCAGCGTGGCGAGAAATAGCCTGAAAGTAATTGAGAAGTGTCCGATTCCCAGGGTGAATCCTTTTTTCGTATGACAGCTGCTCTTTCAGCAGAGAGAGAAGCACATGGAGGTCTCATCTGTATACGCAAGGAAAGCAGCTCCAATTACTCTGTTATCTTTGGTGAATGAGATTCTTGAAAGTGCCTAATTGATTTTCTAGCATCAGTCCAGGGATTCTCAATGGGCCTTGTAAGGACAATTACAAAAGGACTCAAGTGACTTTGGAAAATGTTTTTTATGCATCTAAATCACACTGAAACAAATTAAGCAGTAACCATGGGCCCCTTGAAGTCTAGCAAGACATCTCGTGTTGATTTTACTGGGGCCAGAATTTCACCCTTATGGATGTTTCTTGTTTTCTGCTTTGTACCAAAGCACAGAGAGGAAATCAAGCTAATAGCCTGACTCTGACCCAGGGCATATCACCTCTTTAGGCCCATCCTACTGATATTTGGAAGCCAAACGAGGTCTGCCAGGCATGACCTCCTCTGTCTGGGGTTGGTTCCTATGCCTCCTGCGCTGCATTAACTAAGCTCCCTGCTTCAGGTTTCGCCCACATCGAGATGCTGATCCTGAAAAGCCGCGAGTTCCTGCCGTGATTGATGGTCTTATTGCTTTTAAAAATAATGACCACGGGGCCTGGGCCAGGGGCGGCGACATTATTTTCCGCAACTCGGGGTAGGTTACTGTAATTACGTGTTATATCATTCTCCTCATGGCAGACATAAATACGCCTGTAGGCCAAATTCGCTACAGACATTCCTCCTCATTTACGCTGTTGTGTTTCTTCTGTCCCAGGTTTTCAGACAATGGAATTGGACTCACTCTGGCAAGGTAATTTCTTAAAATCGACCTTCTTCCAATTTTTTCCCCCAGTGTAAGAGGCTCAGGAATGGAAGCTGAGACACTCCCCTGGTAATTCCTGTAACACACAAGAAAACCTCAAGCTTCCCTCCCAGACCACATCAAGTCTTCCCTTAATACAAGGGGCAATTTAGCCTTTCGTTCTTTTTGCCTCAGCCTGTCTGGGGAATACATCATAATTGCTGAATATTTCCTTTTGGATGGTAGGTCCTGAACCAGCAGACTAAACATCTGGCTCTGCATTCAGGGAGACTCTTCTGCTCTAGCCCAGTGGAGCAGCATCACCCATAGCTCGTGTGCTGCAGGGGCAGGGTGGCTGGGATGGTCCCACATGGTGGCACAGCAGGTCTTCTACCTCCTCTGCTGTTGTCTACCATGCTCCTGCTGCTCTCGTCTCAACGCCTCTTGCAAAAGATCCGTAAAAATATGCCATATCCAAAGCCCACTGCAGGCAATGAGAATCAGTGATGCCTGGCTCTCATTTCAGGGATGTAGCTAAAAACTTACAAAGGAACTCCCTCTCTCTATATACATATATATAGGGTAGAGCTGGTTTTACCCAGACTGAGTTACCTGTGTTACCGATGTCCAAGCACTAAGCTACCTCGGCACTAACTTGCTGGTTTCTGAAGAGATTTTAAAGCAAGTTGATATACAAGTGTATGCACTTTCTTCTAAATTAAGAAAAATTCTACTGTGTCTGTGGTGTAATTAAAAGTGTTAATTAATCGTTTGCACTGTGCTATGTAGTTACCTGGTGTTTCTTCACTTGTAGTGATGGGACTTTCCCAACAGATGAAGGCTCCAGCCTGGAGGTTACACGCTCCATTTTTGTTGGAGAAAGCAGCAACTTCGGCTCTCAGGGAGGTCAAAACAGCTACTGGGGAAAAGGGGCAAATGGAGAATACAGAACACTGCCCAGAAACAAGTGAGTTATTCTTCTGCCATTTCTTCTTGGTGTTAGTGTAAGCTAGAAGAAAAGCCTCAGGAATGAATGTGACTACCAATAAATAATTTATACCGGGTGTTTAAATTTTTGTACAGGCCAGAAATAATAAGCATCTGAATAAACTTGCTCTTAAGGCCAACAGCTCGAGAGCATTCTCAACTGAATGTGTTTGATTTCATTTTCTGCTTAATTTATTAGTCACTGGAGAATGGATTAGAGAATCTGAAAGACACCAACTGGCTTTTGTGTAGTGCTTCAGTAGCACAGCGTTGAGCTGATGGTGCAGCTCCCATACACCAGGCCACCACCCCTCCTGCCAGTGTAGCTGGGCAAACATGGCCGGTTTGACAAAGGAGAAATCATTTTTCGTTAATCTTCTTTCTCTTTCAATAGCTGTATGTTATTTTCTATTTTGACAGCAGCACAGCCTCCTGCCTAGCAACTGCAGTGCCTACCCACATCCCCATAGCAAGGTGTGCTTCCCCAAGCCTAAATTCTACCCTAATGTATGTTTTTGATGATGCTCACCCATCATTAATTGCTCTATGATGAAAATAAAATCAAGGAATAAGCATTACTCAACAGACACGCTATGCACACAGCCCTGACTATCCATGTCTCAGCCATAAGTGACAGAGGAATGAGGTTTGTGTAGGACAGCAAGAATAATCAGAGCTCTCCTCAGTTATTACCGGTGCTGTTATTTTAATTGCAATTGCAAAAAAGTTCCTCTGCAGTTCAAACAAGGTGTAATCATCTGTGATACTGTTAAGCAACATGTGCTTGGAAAGGAGTATGCCAAAACGTCCGATATCTGTCCTTTCATTACGCCATAGTGCAAGATGGGATGTGAGGATTGTACCAGGCCCAGCTACTGGGATAACAGCTCTGGAAATATAAGAATTATTTGGTTAAGAAGCACTGTTTGTGCCTGATGTTTCCAATTGGCAGAGTGTTTCTGGGTCTCTGGAGGCAACCAGTAAGAAAAAACATCAGGGCTGGGAGGAAATCTGTGTCTCAGTGACCTCCAGGCTGCAAAGAGCCTGTGTGCTCATGTGATGTCCACCTTGTGGCTTTCGTGTCTGAACAACTCTGTCTGGACTCAGTAAGCACCGACCTACCCTTCCACGCTACTACTAGGCAGCTTCATTACCGTCTGCGAAGCTGATGCAGGCCACCCTTTAATCAAACACAACCGGGGCCAAGAAAATTTGGCACCTTCTCAAAACAAACCATGGAAAGGGCAGGTCCTTACCTGTGACTCCAGTTGCGTCTCCTTCAACTCTGATGTCTTGACAACATGTCTGTGGACTGATGTTGCAGAAATTGCTTTTCTATATGAAATGCTGTGGACTAGGTCCTAGGGATCTTGTGTGAAATGGTTTGTAGGGAGAAGAGAAACTGTCCTGCACCACTTGGTACTTGCTTCCAGGGTGACACTTGCATCCAGGGAGTCTGATAATAATTTTTTCAATCATGCTGATGTTTTCCTGGGAAACCCATCTACCCTAGAACAGGGAACCTCATGGCAGTGCTGCCACACAGCCCTTTGGGTCTTCCTCATGGAGATGAACCCCCAGGTGGCTGGGGACAATTTTGAACTGCTTTACCCCAGCTTACAAACCTTATGAGTCTTTTTTTTTTTTGGCTCTTGAGCCTTATTCTGTAGAGGATGTTCAGCAGAGTTTCTTCTTTCGTTTTCTGTGTCATGAGCATCCAAATTCCAGTTTGGGGAAAGAAAAGGTCGTTTAGCTACTTGTTAATATCTTTCTGTGCTTTCAGGAGAAGACTCAGAGTTTACCCAAGTTTTGAATACAGGATTGTGTTTGTGTTTAAATCTCACAGGACATTTCCTATTCGTGGATTCCAGATTTATGATGGGCCTGTCAGGATGGCAAAATGCACTTTCAAAAAGTTCAACCCAACTGTTGACAGATACTCAAGTGCCATTGGGTTCTTCATGAAAAACTCCTGGCAGATAAGCCCCCAGAATAATGTGTCACAGATCCTGATGGAGAAAAGTGTAAGTAAGAAAAGCAAGAATACGTGCTGATAGATGTGCAAGTTTTTGAAGTCTTTAGAAGCAGTGAGAGACCTATCCTAGAGCAAGAATTTCCAGGCAGTGATGCATGTTACGTTGGTGCATACCATTGACTCATTTGGCAACACTTTTTTTTTTAATGAAGGTTATTTATAAGCCAGTAAAATGTGAAGCTATCTTATGCTGGGCAGACATACATTAAAAAATCTGCATTAGAGGAAGATTCCACCATGTAGCCAGAAGCCCCAGAACATCACTCTTAGCTGGTGCAACATTACCAGCCTCTATATGCTGAGGACCTGGCCTCAGAGGTTGAAGGGAACACAAATGAGATGTCAAGAGACAGTAAGCTGCAATACAATTCTTATACTGAAATAAGCAAATGCACTTAGAAGCAAAGCCATGGCCTAGTTCCTGGGGTCAGCAGGGAAATTCCCCTTGAGCAGCGATAGCAGAACGGCTCTTTATCTCTGCCTTGACAGTTGTAGAATGCTGAGTAATTCCCATCCTTGTCCTGGATTCCTGCAGGGATCATGACCCTGTACACTTGGCTTGGGAAATGCTAGATTGCACCTGGCTCGCTCCCAGGGATTATAACTTCTCCTTAGCTTTTTTCAAATAAGGTCCATGCTTGTTGGGATGTCCATGAACTGTAGTAACTTTGGCTTGAGGTTTGGCTTTACCTTGAGGAAATTTCCGTTGCTCTGGGATTGACCAATATCATTCCCTCTGGCAAGCAGTTAGTTTGTCTGTCCCCTCTCTAATACACTTTAGACCAACAACAGGAGGGTGTTTCATGAAAGGATGATGTTGATTGCAGTCACTTGACTGCTCCTCTAAAGAAAACACAGTTCCTGTGCATTTCAATAAAGATATCTTAATTACCTTAGATGCTTTAGGGAGCTTTGGAACAAGAATAAGGGCTAATTTGCCATACCTTCCTTATGTCCTCCCTTGGGGAAATGGTTATAAGATGATCATGGGGAACATGAATGAAAAAATCAACCTAGAACTAGGGAGTGGAGCACAGAGAAAAATGTATGATGAAAAGTTTCAGTCCACATGAAAATGTTGGACTGAAAGAAAGTGGAAATTTTCCTCCAGTAACAGGTGTAGGACTCTGTCCAACTGAATGGTTTCAGACAGATGATGTCTGTGCACATTAGCAAAGGGGATGATTACTTCTTGAATGGCTGCAAATGCAGCTCTTTATAATAGAGTTGCACCGTTTGAGGCCAATGAGCCTGTTAAATATCCCAGCATTTTTTTCTGAGAGGCAGCTTAGTACTGCAACACCTTTAAGATCTGAGGTTTTCAAGGTAAAAATGGCCAGAAAACTTACTAAATACTTCTGCAAAGCAAATTAAAAGAATACTGTGTCAGCCCATTACAAAAAACTCACACGATAATTATTTCTTGTATGTACATTTCAAAGAAACATCTATTTCTGAAGTTGGTATTTTGCCAACTTAAAAACCGTTTATGTTTCTAACAACCTGCATTCCAGCATTTTTCACTTTGATTCTGTTTTATCTGGATTGAACCCAGATGTGCTAAATCTGATTTCAGACTTGGACCATGGTTAGTTTATTGTTTTGTTGCTAATTGCTATATGGGACAGTATGTCTTTGACTAGTTAAGATTAGAGCCTGTAGACTGTTTTAATTAATTTTCCATCTCCAGGCTTCATTTTATTACTTTTTAAAGGGTAGCTAAGTACTAATTCCCTAAAGGACAATCATTTTACAGCTGTTTTTTAAGAAGAAATTAAACATTACTGCGAGTTGTATAGTGATGACAAAACTATTAGTCATGCTGAACGAATAGTTGTATAATTAATCAGAGTAATCAGGAGATTGGTTAGGCAACAAAATAATACAGCCAGTCAGGTCTTGTTTAATTCCAGCATAAAAATAATGGCCAAGTAGAATGGAAGACCTAAAGGTTACCCTCCACAAAAAGTATTCTAGTTGCCTTTCTGTTGACAAACCTAAATGCCACATATTAAGATATCTGTGCATTTATCAATAGCAACATTATTGCTAGGCTTGGTTGGTTGTTTTATAAAGGGTGCTTTTTAAAAGTTATTTCAAAGCGCTAGAAGCAGCAATTGGTCTTAAACCAGCTGAGGACATAACTGGTAGTCGTGGTGTCCTGTAGATCTAGTTACTGGCAGTCAGTAGGACTTGTAGAGCTCAAGGGAAATGGCCCCAGCTCAGAACAGAGCCATGCCCAAACAGGACACTTGTGCATAATTTCTTAAGAACACCTGACATATCTCTTTTTAGTCTTAAAATAGCAACCCATTCATACTTCTGTCCTTTTGCTGCACAGCTCCTGTAGAGTGAGCTGAGGAGCAGGAGAAGTTGTATGTGACCTTTTGGCCTCCCATGAACAAGGCCACCTCCAGCAGGCGCAGAAGACTCACAAAATATCCCAATTCGCATCCATCGCTAATAGTCCTTCCAGTTATTTTTTCCCTGCAGCCAGGAGCTTAGGGTGGATTCAAGCCTATTCTACTCCTAGCATTATGGCATCTCTGAAATTACTTGTGCCAAAGAAATCCAGTGGTCTGTGTCGGGTGGGTTTGTTGTTGTCCTCAGAAGAGTTCAAAGGGGGCAGAACTGGCTCCTGGCTGTGGTCTAGCGACTCCCAGAGGATTGCAGTCCTGCCTAGCTGAGAGACGGGCACTTCCTAATGTTGCCTTTGCTATGTTTAGCCTGTGTCGTCTTAGCGCTGGGTTTCTGCGTCAAAGCAGAAGTTTGCAAACAGTTCATGATGGAAAAAAGAAAAGCAGAAGCTGAGTTAAAGTGCAAGTCTGTTAACCCCTGAAAAAGAGGGCAGAAAAAACCCCAACCCCAAAGCCCAAAGAGAATCCTGACCAAAGGGAACTTGCAGGGTGAGGGCTTGCATCACTCCAGCCAAGTAAAAGCCACGCTATTGAGGGCAGAGTCCTTGGGTGGTAAAGCAGAGGAAGAGTCACACTGGCTGAAAGTGGTTTCCTTAAAGTGAAAACAGTGATACAGTGATACGGCTTTTTTGGGCACCTTGTGTCAATATTTGAATTTTACAAAAAGTTGCAAGTTATTATTGATGTTTTCCAGTACATTATTAATTTTTAATATAGAAAGTGTTTTCCACTGCAGTCTTCAGGAATTGTCTGCAGCTGTGTTGGGTGTGCTGCCTTTGGACAGGTTGAGTTAGCATATTCCTAAGAGATTACATGCTCACATAACCATCATCCGTCAGATCTCCCTGCCAGGCTTCAGACAGGTAATTCAAGTAACCTTTATACCATATCACTCCCAGGTAGTCCACACCTAATGAAAAGTGGGTGTCTGAACAGTAGTGTGGTAGCTAGACATGACCTGTCTCTGTACCCTCTTCCGGCTCATTCCTAGCTCCACAGGGACATACCTGACGTGCTGAGCCTTTTCTGTGTTCACTTAGAAAAAAAACGGGTGTTGCCATAGCTGTAACTGCAACCTCAGTGCACCCGTATCCCTCAGCGCGCAGAAGTAAGGTAACCTTGAGACTTACAAAAGGAGTGACGCTGCTCGTTAACCTTTCCATTTCGTTTCTGACTTTCAGACTTTATAGAGGAGAATGTTAGAGATCGGGTTAGCATTAGCACCAAAACTGTCTGCTGCTGGATGGAAACACTGAGAACGTTAATCAAATGTAAACTGTACTGGCCGCGCCTTAGTTTGTTTTGAAGTGCAGCTGACACTGTTCTCCTCCTCGGTGAAGTGCTCGTTTTCATATTCGACTCCAGAAGTGCACTGTCACAAAGTATTTATAGTGGAGCTTTGAGCAGCAACACAGTGTTTACATTTTTAAAAATATCTCCTTTTTTATAAATTAAAATGAAAGAAAAAATCCCCACAACCTTTGGGATCCTCCCACTTTGCCAGCTAGCCCTTTGGGCAAAAATTTCTTGCAGTGCAGTAAGAAAAGGTTTCAAAACATTCAAAAACACACATTAAATTTCCATGTGGTTGAGCCTCCTTTAAATGAAACTGCTCCAGGTGTTTGTTTATGATACTCAGACAAGAAGGTGGCAGAAAAGTGGTTCTAGGTTGTAATTTAATTTTAAAGGAATAAAGACTTTTATTCTGCAAGTAGTTCTTGCTGCAGTGGTCATTCTTTTTAATCCAGTGGGACTTTCCATCTAAGTGAGAATCACAATGACCCTCCTATTCTCCTAAGCTGCTCTGTTTATTATTGTTAAAATAAAGCCTTTAAAGCCCTTAGTAAACTTGGAGCCTAATCCTGCTGACCCTAATTCTTATTCATGTGCACAGTCCAATTAAAATGAGTTGGGCTACATGGAACAAATTACAGTCCTTTGGGTCGGCGTGATCCAGTCGCTATTTATGCCGCCTGGTTTTTTATACCCATTGCTGCAGGATTCATTTGCAGTGCTTGACCAGAGTAATTATTTTCTTGATTATTTCAGAACTTAGTCATCCCACACTGTCATAATTTTATCTGCAGATGAAACTATTCCATGCCTTTTTTCTGAACATCTTCAGTTTCCTTATTTTGCTGGAATTTCATATCAGGACAGATTCTTTTACTTAGCTACTGAAAAATCTTGAAAACAGAGCTATCTCTTTCCTAAAAAAATTCTTCAGGGGATATATTGGAATGTGCACAAGAGCCAATTCTGAGAATTGCTGTCACTTTCATGAGTTTTATAAGGTTTTAGGGGAACAATTAGAAAAAAATGGCACTCACGGAACTGCTTAGAACAGCCATTGAAAAGATGTGAGAAAATCCACCAAACATCTAGTAATTTTTGTTTCCTTGATCACAGCTGTGATGTTCCTCAGTAAATTTCATAATCTTCCAGTACTTCGCTACCCTTTGAGTCATCCTCTTCCTTTTGCTACCGTGCAATTTATTGCTGTGTGATTTCAAGGAATACATGGTTGTGTGGGTGCATTTCAAAGAATCTAAAGTCTAATTTTTGTGAACATTTCTCCTGGGATTAAGAAATGAGGGGGAAAACCAATACAGTCAGAAATTTTTCTAAATAGAAGTAAACCAAAACTCTTACTGAAACAATAGAGCTTTCTAGTTCTCCCTGTATCACTGTTTTGGCTGTTAAAACACTGCATCCCCAAGTCCTTACTTAGAACTAACCAGTAATTTTTCTTCTTATTTTCTCCTGATAGGTTGGACTAAAAGTGTTTTTTGGCAGATCAGGCCAGTGGTTTGGAAACAATGATAATGATGGTGACAAAATGTCTATCTTCCACGATCTGGACGGCTCCGTGACAGGGTATCGAGACACTTTCATAGGCAGAGCGGACAACTACTTGTTGCGTCATCCCGGGTGTCTCACTGTCCCACGCTGGAATGGGGTGATGTGCACCGGGAAGTTTGCCCAGGTAACGGGGGGAGGCTGCAGGCAATGTTGCTGGGCGTGTTGGGCGGGTGTCCTCAGATGCTCTGCTGAGGGGTGATGGAATGAAACCTACTCAACACTCCATAAGACAAGAGGTGAATAATAAGCTGGGTATAATTTTACTTCTCTCAGTGTTATCCGCCTAATTCCAAGGACTCAGGAAAGCTCCTGTGCAGCTGCCTGTAACCCATGGCTGTAAGGAGCCCTGTCTCTTCCCATTGCCCACAAGAAGCTCCAAGTTGCAATCCAGTTGGGGGAAAGTTTGGTATTTTCTAGTTCTTGCTTCCAAGCGTTTGTCCACTCTATCATGGGGCTCTGGTGGACAAGTCTGGTGAATCTAGTTTCAGTAATGGAAGATCTTACTCCTCTGATATATCTCACTGTGTTCAGGATGGTGAAATGGGGTGGTCAAGACACAGACTTACTTCTTATTTTCCATCCAGAAATCACTGGCCAAGGGATGGTCAGTCTTAGGTCAGGGCGGTCTTAAACCTTCAGCGCTGTTTTCTTCAGCACGCTTGAGTTAGAGACTTTAACTGAGATGTCAACACCTTGGTAGAAAGGGCTGCAAATCCCAGGTAACCTTCCAGTAGGGAAA